TAATGCTTTCTGAATCTTGTTTAAGAAAGGTTTCCTTATTCTAAGTTCACCTTTATTTTTTACCATGAGACTTTAAAGTTTGATTTCTGATATTTAAATTCTTAATTTATTTGAAGTTAATTTTTGTGGTTTGAATAGGAATCTGATTTTATTCTTTTCATTGCATATAGATTGGCCCTCCTTTTCCTACTGATCTCACAGACCATCTTTGTTGTATACTAAGTCATTATATACTAAAATGCATGGGTCTGTTTTTGGCTTCTGTCTTCTGTCCCATAGGTCTCCTTGTCTCATCTTGCTCTGTCTTAATTATGATAGCTCCATAATAAGCCCTAATACCTTGAAGGGTCATTTTCACTGGTCTCCTTCAAAAACATTCAGGATTTTCTTGATCCTTTACTGTTTCAGTGAATTTTAGAATTATCTTATTGTGTTTCAAAAGAAGCTCTATTGAAATTTTTATTGGAATTGTGTTGACTTTATAGATCAATTTGGGGAAGAACTAATAAGTTTTCAATATTATCTTTCTGTTCAAGAAAATGATATCTCTTCATTTATTTATTTACATTTTCCCTAATAAAGTTTAAAATTTTATTTGTTAAAATTCTTTTGAGATTTTGACTTAATATTCTCTGATACTACTATAAATGATGCTTTTCCTTTATTTATATTTTCTAGTTGTTTGCTACTGTTGAATGGAAATGAAGTGACTTTGTAAATTAACCTTATATTCATCCACCTTGCTACACTCTCCTAGTAGTTTCACAATTTTTTCTTAGTAGCATCATTTGGGGCTTTAATGTAAATAATTTTATTATCTACCAATAATACCAGCTTTATTTTCTCTACACTAAATGTCATCTCTCTGTCTTCTGTTCAGCTTTTTTAAAGTCCTCCTTATTCTTGTCTTTTTGCCCAGTTTCTGCTTTCAATTCTTTTTTTTAAAGATTTTATCCATTTGTTTTTAGAGAGGGAAGGGAAGGAGAAAGAGAGAAACATCAATGTGCAGTTGCTGGGGGTCATGGCCTGCAACCCAGGCCTGTACCCTGACTGGGAATCGAACCTGTGACACTTTGGTTCTCAGCCCACGCTCAATCCACTGAGCTATGCCAGCCAGGGCCGCTTTCAATTCTTGTTGAAAACAGAAAATTGAATCAGAAGTGGCTGAGACTTACAGAGACATAAGATCTTTCCTTTGTGCATCCACACAGAGCAATCAAGTTATCTTATGTGTTTACTGGAAGATATGGATACAGAAAAATGAATGTAGCCTCTCTTGGTGATACCCACGGGGAGGAAAGGACTGCCCCAATGATCTGCCCTCTAAGAAGGCCCATGACTTCTTTCCTCCTCTGCTCCAAAAATTTTAGTTTGAAAACTCTTGTCAGTGATTGCATTTAAAAAGCAGCAACAGGTTATTTTCTCTTAACGTTCTGTTTCTCAGTGCGAAGTCCCTTCCTTCAGAGATGGGTCATAGTGTTGGCCTCCCTGAGAAGGTTCTTCAACCCCAGGTCTACCCATCCATGCAGCATTTCTACATATACTTAAATCTCTATGAAGATCTCAGGAAAAATTATTTGGAAGGATAAATAGAGTTTTTAACATTTTTAGAAGTTATTTTTCTGATTTTTTCACTTTAAAATCCACACTCCAATGTCCTTCAAAGCACTACTGAATTTTTTTGAGTCTTTACATAAGTTGAGTTGCAGTAAATGTGACATTTGAGGTATAGGGTGAAAAATCACTATAACTCCAAGAAAAAACTTAACGAAAGAAAAGAGAAGGAATATTTTAATAAATTTTTGAATAAAAACTCTCACCCTGATCACTTAACCGTAACTTTAAAAAGCTAGACTTCCTAATATTAGTTTTTAAATTAGTTTTTAAGTGCATAATTATTTTTAGAATACATTTTCTTTATTTTTTAAGGAAAAAGTATATGTTATACTTTAGCTTGTTATTGTTTAACTTAAGCTTGTGGAATCTGTTAGAACTTTCATTTTATATGGCAAAATGAAGTATCGATTAACCTTGGCTAATATACTCAGTTAATCTAGAACAACCATTAACTCTGGAATTATTGATTTTAGAAGCTATTTCTGGTAGCCTTTGCTGTCAAAGCTTTTTCTGATGACATGTGTACAGAAATAAACAGATGGTTTGGTTCATTTTTATTACTCAAGAAAAGTTCACGACTTGGTATTCATCTTTAACTATATATTTTTATGTCTGTGACCTTTCCAAAAGTCAGTGTTGACACTAACTTTGATAACTAATGCCCTCAGGGAAGGCTGTAGGTATAAGTTTGCTTCTTTCCCACCTCCTATGTGGTGGCTATACCTTAAAGTAATTTAATTTGAGACCAGAATAGTTCAGTATGTGAAGAGTACCATCGGATAAGCATGATCCTTTGACCCAGTTAAAATATATACAATATATTAGAAAGGCCTATGTTCAGCTTTTTAGTTTGTAATGGTTATAAAATTCTGCACTGCTACAAACAAGTAAACAAACAAAATAGAAACAAGTGATTTCTGCATACCACAAAAGAGTAGTTCAGTAAGAAGTTAGTGATGATAATACCAAACAGATAATCACCCCAGGTAGACATGGATTCCTATGTACAAACTGACTTAACTACCGACTTCTCACTCTGGTATCCAGAGCCCAGCACGTCTCTCCCATTTGCCTTTTATTACATATACTGTTGTTAAGCTAGATCAGCTGGCCTCTATTCCTCCACAGGGACACCTCCACTGTTTGTTGCTCACTGCCACTGAAAGTCCTGTCCTCCCAGGAAGCCTAAAATCCAAGTCTACTTATACCTAGAATACCTAGAATACCTAGTCTACTCATGCCTCCTCCACCCTGCTTTTCCTAACTCCACAGAGTATCTGTTGTCTTTGACCCAGCAGTCTATACGGGGTGAAAGTACCCCACTTCCCTCATGGTTATTTGCATGTAGTAGCTCCCCCTTATCCGCAGTTTTGCTTTCTGTGGTTTCAGTTATCTGCAGTCAACTATAGTCTGATGATATTAAATGGAACATTCCAGAAATAAAGAATTCATAAGTTTTAAATTGCATGCTATTCTGAGTCTCAGGATGAAATCTTGTGCCATGTTGTCCAGCATGTGAATCATCCCTTTGTCCAGTGCCTCTATGTTGTAGACACTTCCCGCCTGTTAGTTAGTTAGTAGCCGCCATCTTGGTTATCAGATTGACAGTCTCAGGTACCAGGTACCACCGTGCTTGTTTTCATGTAACCCTTATTTTACTTAAAAATAGTCCCCAAGACTATTATTCCCCGAAGTGCAAGAATAGTGATGCTGGCAATTCAGATGCCAAAGAGAAGTTGTAAAGTTCTCCTAAGTGAGAAGGTGAAAGTTCTTGACTTAAGAAAAAAATTGTATGGTGAGATTGCTGAGATCTATGGTAAGAACCCATCTTCTATCTGTGAAGGCAAAAGAAATTTGTTCCAGCAAATTTTGTTGTTGCATCTCAAACTGTGGAAGTTATAGCCACAGTGTGTGATAAACCCTTAGTTAAGCTGAAAAAGGTATTGAACTTGTGGAAGACATGAACACAGCATGTTATGATTGATGACAGCATATTGTGTCAGAAAGCATTGAGCCTGTTACAAAGACTTCAACAAGGAATCTCCGGGAACAAGTTGTGAGTGGTAGGAAAAATGACACCAGATGTTAACCGCAGTTTAGCAACTTCAGTTCTTGCATTCTGGCTAAGAGAAGAATTCAGAGCCAAGATTCAGATTATAAGAAAAAGTTTATTTAGAAATTCACAGAAGAAGTGAGACATCAAGAAATGGGCTGAGGAAACAAGTTACTGCAAACAAATGCCCTTGGAACTTAGGAGTGAGGGAGAAAGGAGAGAGAGGGGAAGGAGAAAGGTGGAGGGGGAGGGGGTCAGAGAGGGAGATAGAGAAAGAGAACCCAGGAGAGAGAAGGGGGAGGGGAAAGGCTGTGAGGCTGGAGGTGGGGCAGGGGGCATGCTCCACAGAGAGAGCCAGGCAGAATTCCTAGACCAAGGGCTTTTATCTGAAGGCCTCAGGGGAGAATCCCAATAGAATATTCATCAGCTTCCCAGGTGTGCCCCCTCATAGTCTCCACCAGTGGTCAGCACCAGGGGGTCATTAATCAAGCTGGTCCTAAAATTACCCATGGTGTTACTCCATCTGATTCTGCTGCTTCTCTGGTACTGGAGCTGAAACACAGCTGAAGCCTAGATGTCATCTTCCAGGAGTTAATGCTTAAGGGAAAGGTCATGCAAGGGCTTATAGTTCTGCCCGTGGCTCGGCACCTAGGGGTCTCTGTCTTGGTGACCCTCTGCCCCTGGACCATTGTTTCTGCTCTACTCATGCCTGTATCTCACTGCCTATTACAAAATGACCACGTTCACATATTTTTACAATTTTTACACACATTTTTACAATTGCTCTGTTTTATTAGTAATGTTGTAAGTCCCTTACTATGACTAATTCATAAATTAAACTTTATCATAGGTATGTATAGGAGAAAACATAGTAGAGTTCAGTACTATGTGTGGTTTCAGGCATCCACTGGAGGTCTTGGATGGTATCCCCTGCAGGTCAGGGGGATTACTGTACTTAACACCTCCATTGGGACTGTATCCCAGTGCCCGACACAGAATTTGCACCAAGTGGCATGTAAGCAATAAAAAGAATTTGCTGAAGGAAAAGATCTTTGCATCCCAAGTTCAACAGTACCTTCTTACAGTTTCATTCAGAACAAGAAACACAAAGCTGTAAAAGATGGAAGCTAAATAGAATCTGTATCTGAGAAACATGACACACAGAAGTATAAATAGGTAATATGGTTTAAGATTAAATGAAAGAGAAAGCCTTACTACTGTCTTCAGAAAGCAGTCTTTGTTTTGGATATCTTTTTTATTAAATTGATAAGACAAAATTACTTGAACATAAAAAAGAGCTTTCTTTTTCTTTTCTCTTTTTTAAAACCAGGGGCAGTTCTGTGACTACTGCAATTCTGAGGACCCCAGGAAAGCACATCCAGCCACCAATGCAATCGATGGGTCTGAACGCTGGTGGCAGAGCCCGCCCCTCTCCTCAGGCACACGGTACAACCAAGTCAACATCACCTTGGATCTAGGGCAGGTAAGGTCTACTTCCAGCTGCAATGAGGGAAATTCATTTGAACCATTGTTTCGGTGGTGATTTTGATATAATAATAATTATTTTAAAATACAAACTTCAGTTTTAATACATTAATCATTGTAAAGCCTGTTACATTAATATTTGTATCCCTCAACACCCAGTATAGTGCCTGTAAGCAATGCATACATTATGCCTGTGTAGTAAATGAGCTAAAAATTATTATAAATAGTTTAATTGGTGAAGATATTTTTATTATCATTCTTAATAGTGGTAAAATATATATAACATAAATTTTGCGGTCTTAACCATTTTTAAATGGCGTAGTGTTGAGTACATTCAAATTGTTGTGCAACTGATCTCCAGAATCCTATTCATCTTGTACAACTGACACTCTCCCCACTAAACACTAACTCCCCATGCCCCCCTCCTCCTGCCCCTGGGAATCACCATCCTACTTTGTGTCTTTGTGAATTTGACTTCTCTAGGTGCCTCATATAAATGGAATCATGCAGTGTCTGTCATTTTGTGACTGGCTGTTTTTTTTCACTTAGCATAAAATGTCTTCATGGTCCATCTGTGTTGTATGTACCATCTATCAGAATTTCTTTTAATAAGGCTGAATAATATTCCATTGTATATGTGTGCTGCATTTTGTTTATCTCTTCATCTGTCAGTGGGCCCTTGTGTTGTTTTTACCTTTAGGCTGCTGTGATTAACGCTGCTATGAACACAGGTATGGCAAAGATATTTTTACAGCATTCTCTTTCCTGGAAATTCTGACTCCATGAACACTTACTGCCCTAGTGTTGGCCCTGTTTGGCCAGGTGGTTCACGACAGAACATGACTTCAGGCCTATACTTCTGGGGTGGGCCAGGATGGCCCAGGATGCCTGCCCCATAGTGTACATGCTGGGTATAATCCTCTCCTCTGAGTGTGTGGGCTGCACTGTAAATATGGTAGATGTCATACCTGTGGTGAGTTGGTATTATCTGACAAAGATGAAGAGATTTTGCAGACGTGTTTCAGGTCCCAAGTCAGTTGATGAAAAGGGATTTTATCCTGGGGGACCTCTTCTAATTAGGAAAGCTCTTAGCCCTACCTAAAGGGAAGAGATTCAAAGCATGAGGTTTCCTGCTGACATTGAAAGGGAAAACTGCCATGTTGTAAACTACCTGTGGAGTTGGCAAGGGCCTAGAAGCTGGCTTCTAGAAGCTGAGAGTGGCTCCAGCCAACAGTCAGCAAAAAAGTAGGGACTGTATCCCTACAACCACAAGGAGCTGGATCTTGCCAACAACATCTGGCAACTTGGAAATGGGTCTATCCAATCATCTAGCTGACAGCTTGATTGTAGCCTTGACCCTGAGCAGAGAACCTCGTCAAGCCATGCCCAGACTCCTGACCTACAGAACAGCAAGACAATAAATGGATGTTATTTTAAGCCAGCAAGTGTGTGGTAATTTGTTTAGCAGCAATAGAGAACTGATGCACCTTCTTATTTCCCTTTTCAGGCCAGGCAGGGAGTCCCTCCCATCTATTCCATCCTATTCCTTTAACAAATATTTATTGAGTTCCTTCTATGTGTCAGGCACTGTTCTAGGCATTTGGGATACATGAGGGAACAATAGAGATGAAGATTCCTCCCTTCGTGGCATTTAGATTCTAGTTTGGGAGACAGCCAACAAAATATACATAACAAATACATAACTATGCTATGTTAGAAGCTGATAAAAGCTCTAGAAAAATGAAAAAGAAGATCACGGTAAAAAGATTATTAGTGCCAGAGGCAAGGATGGTTTGCAGTTTTAATTAGGACGGTCAGGAGAAGGCTTATTGAGGAAGGACTTGAAGCAGGTGAAGGAGCTAGTCATGTAATCTGTCACTGAGGCAGAGGGGTCAGTCCTGAAAAGTCTCTACGGTAGGGGCTGTCTGGAAAGTACAATAGTATGGAAGCCAGAGTGGCTTGAGCAAAGTAAGGGAGGGAAAGGTGGTGGTAGAGGTGTTCTGGGAGATAACAGACAAGACGAGATCTCACAGGGCCCCATAGACCATGTGAGGACTTGGGCTTTTAAGTGAAATGAGAGTCATTACAGAGTTTCAAGCAGAGGAATGATATGACTGGATTTGTATTTAAAAGGGATTTTTCTGGCTGTTCTCTTGAGGATTATGGAGAGGCAAGTGTAGAAGCTCATCAGGAGACTGTCACAATGGTGACAGTCACCACCACTGGTGGTGGTGGAAGTGGGCGTTTGGATTCCAGGCATACTTTGAAGATAAAGCTGCCACAACTTCCTAATGGACTGAATGGGGACTATGAAAGAATGCAGGGTTCAGGGATGATTCCCAAGACTTGTGGTCTCAGCAAGTGGAACTGCTATTTACTGAGATGTTGGAGGCTATGGGAGTTATTTTGGACATGCTAAGATTGAAATATTATTTGGATGTCCAAGTGGAGATGTGGGCTAAGCACTTGGAGATATGAGTCTGGAAAGCTGTCTGGGCTGCAGACAGACATTTGTTGTGGATTTCTTTAGGATTCATCCTGTTAGGATTTTCCAGCCTCTTGAATCTGTAGGTTTATAACTTTCACCAACTTTGGGCAGTTATCCTTCTGTCCTTTCTACCTTCCTTCCTTCTCTCCTTCCTTTCTCACCTGTGTTAAAGTATAATTGACAAATAAAATTGTGTATATTCAAAGTGTACAATGTGATGGTTTGATACATAATTTGTGAGATGATTACCACAATGAGGTTAATTAACACACTTATCACTCACATATTTCACATGTTTACCTTTTCGGTGAGTGTGTGGTGAGAACACTAAGATTTACTCTTAGTAAAGTTAAGTATGCAATACGCTACTATTAACTACAGTCACTATGCTGTACATTGGATCTTCAAAACTTTCTCATTTTATAACAGAGGGATGGTACCCTTTGATTAGCATCTCTCCAGTTCCCCTACTCCCCAGCCCCTGGTGACCACCATTTTACATTCCGCTGTGTCTGTTTGTATGAGTTCAACCATTTTTAAAAAGATTCCACATACGTGTAAGTGAGATTATACATTATTTGTCTTTTTTCATCTGGCTCATTTCTCTTAGCCTAATGTCCCCTAAGCCCATCCATGCTGTCATAAATGGCAGGGTTTCAGTCATTATTTCTTTAAATATCCTTTCAGCCCCTCTCTCTTCTCTCCCTGTGGGATTCTGAAGATATACTTGTTAGATCTTTTATTATTGTTCCACAGGTCCTTGGGACTCTATTAATTTTTTCTTCAGTTTATTTCCTAGTATTTTTCAGATTAGGTAATTGTATTGTCTTATTTTCAATTCATTGAGTCTTTTCTCTTTTATATTTGTTCTGATATCTAGTTCTTCCAGTGAGTTTTTTAAGTTTAGTTATTTTATTTTTTAGTTCTATAATTTCCACTTGGTTCTTTTAAAGGATTTTTTTATTTCTTGGCTGAGATTTTGTATATTTTCATTTACTTAAGGAGAATTTGTACTTACTCATTGAAGCATTTTTATGATTGCTGCATTAGTCATAACAACTCAAATGTCCTTCAACTGATGAATAAGTAAACCAAACATGGTATGTTCATACAATGGAATGTTAGTGATCAATATAAAGGAATGAATTTCTACTGAATGCTACAATATGAATGAATTTTGAAAACATTATTGTATGTGAAAGAAGCCAGTCACAAGACTACGCATCTTATGACTCCATGTATGTACAATGTCTACATAGACAAATCTACTGAGACAGAATAGTAGATTAGTGTTTGCCTAGGGCTGGGAATTTTGGAAGGAAATGGGTAGTAACAACCGTAAGGAATAGTTTGTTTTGGGAATGAGAGATGAAATTGATTATAATTGATTGGGCAACTCTGTGAACATACTAAAAAGCCTTTGGGTTGTGCATTTTAGATAGGTGAATTGTATGTTATGTAAATTATATTTCAATGTAACTATAAAAAAGAATTCGTGGAAAGAGAGTATTTCAAGGAAAAAAACAGAAAGGGGATAACTGTGTCAAATATTGTGTCAAGTAACATAGAACCAATAATGACTGATAATTCACCAGTGGGTCTGTCAATATGTGGAGGTCACTGATGACTTTGGTGAGACAGGGTTGAAAACCTGACTGTAGGGAGATTAAAAGAGAATGTGAGAGGAATCGAGACTTGTAGTACAGAAATCTAATTTGAAGAGTTTTATTGCAACAGGGAGAAAAGAAACAGGGGAAGAGTTGTTGGAAAGTCATGTAAAGAGAAGACTGATTCGTAGTGGGAGAGAGAGCAATGGACTATACAGATGGTAACAGGGACAAGAAGAGAAGACTGCTGCTGTTTTGTGAGTTTGCTAGGTGTTATCAGTACTAACACTTGAACTAATACTAATGTCTATACTCATCTTTCTGGCTACAGCTGTGCACAGAATACAGTTTTCATGTGAAATACTGCTTGAAAGCAATAAAAAAAAGGAAATGCACCCCACAGGCTGGAAGTTGAATGATACTGAGATTTCTTTGAAAGAATGTGTTATCATCATTTTGGTTGGGAATAGTTTGGTGATAGAAGGGCTCTCTAACTTTTCAGCCCATATATTGTGTTAAATTAGACCTCTCCTGAGAATATTTTCACTGTCAATTTGCATCTGAGATAATTCGGGTAAATCTCTCATGATTTGAAACATTTTGTAAACCCAATTTCAACTATGAATTGTTCTTATTCTTTTAATGGCTCACCTCAAGCATTAATTCAGTAGAGATTTTGTTATAATGACTAGGATTTACCTATTATATCAGTTATTTAACTGAGGGTTTCTGTAGTTACCTGGGAATTTCAACCTATCAAAATGATGTGTATTGAACTTACTAGTACCTGCTAGACATACTCTTTTTCCCTTAAATCTATTTTTTTTAAATCTACCTTTAAAAGCACACTTTGTTGTACTAAAAAATCTCCACTTAAGACAGTTGAATGAGAACAACAACACA